CTGCCCCTCTGCCAGCGTCCTCAGAGGCTTTGCTCCCCGTCTCCCAGGGAGACGCGGAGCAAACCCCGTTCGTAACTGCGGATACAACATAAGTCAGATCTGCGTAACTCGGGGACTGCCTGTATTTGAAAGGGACTTTGTAAGAGTGTACTTGATTCATTCTAGTGACTGCCACGTTCAAATTAAAAAGGGACAGAATGTCTTTTTTCTAAACATTACAACTGAAGGAAACAAGCCTACTTTTCTCCTCCACTGTCCATTATTATTTCTCTGTACCTTTATTAGAAGAGGTATAAGTTGTCAGACAAGAAAAGAGACTGCAATGAAACTATAAACCACCATGCAGAAAATATCTCCCTTGCCTGTTGCTTTGACTACGGCATACACTTCTTTGAATCCTTCCACTGCCTTTGAAGCACTTTAAACTGTTTGCCCACAGTGCCAACCAAATAAGTATTTCCATGGCACAATCCTGACTGATAGCATGTTACACTAGGATTTCTCTCAAAAACTCTTAAGGCTCTAACAGAGGTGTGCAATAATCTAAGTGTAACAATAGCATGCCCCTAATTGTTTCCAATTTAGGTAGAATGCCAGTGTATGCAACGTAACAAAGTAGTTACCTTCTTGTAAGAGGAAGTTTATTCCAGTTTTTGACAGTCCAGCGAAAGACTGTTGGTCGATCTTGAATAGGGGCTTTTTCACTCACTTCCAGATCTTGCTGCCAAGCTAGAAATTCCTCTCTCTCTTGAGGAGCCTAGAAGCACAAAACTTTACTCAACAGAAGTTCTACGTTGGCTCCTTTGCCCTGTGAAAGGAGAGGTAAGCTTAGAGAAAGGTAACATTTGACTAACAGTATTCTCAACCCTATGTGTGTTCATCACTATGAATAGGGGCTTTTTCACTCACTTCCAGATCTTGCTGCCAAGCTAGAAATTCCTCTCTCTCTTGAGGAGCCTAGAAGCACAAAACTTTACTCAACAGAAGTTCTACGTTGGCTCCTTTGCCCTGTGAAAGGAGAGGTAAGCTTAGAGAAAGGTAACATTTGACTAACAGTATTCTCAACCCTATGTGTGTTCATCACTATTCCCATAAATTGGAAACATATGAAGATAGCCACTCTTACATGAGAGACAAGTTGGTATCTCAACAATTTACAAACAAGTTTGTAAATATTTTTAAATAATTCATGAGATGAAAGATTAGTAGCCTTCCAAATTGGCAGAAGATACTAAAACAAAATGCAAAATAATTAAACCAGAGAAGTAACTATTACTTTGTGTGCTTCTCTCACTACCTGTCTCTATTTAAACCAATGGGTAAAAAATAATTTAAAAGGAATGTATTTTACAGGCACTTATTAAACCCAGCATAATGCCTTCCATAGAGAACTTGCAACTGGATCACAGGAACTGTGATAGAACTTTTGAATTAGAAACACAATCATAATTTGGAATGTTACTGAGTAGGGTCACTAAAATATATAAAAGGAGCTAAAGAGAAAAGGAAAGTGTTGCATTAAGATACAACACTAGACAAGAGCTTAGAGCCAATCATCCATTAGTTTTGTTAAAAATATTGTACTTAAGTGAAGTTTCCTTCACTTATAAAAAGAAAGTGAGAAGTCAGTGATGCTTCCATTTTCTAGAACTGAGCTTATACAGAAAATTGGCTAAAATATCACTAATTTTATGCCTTACAGAAAAAAAGTTTGATAGAAATTCTAGCTAGGAGGTGCCAGTGTCCTGGGTTATGACAGAG